GATCAGACACTAACAAGTAATCATAGGAATCTAGCTAGTACGCATCAGCCATAAGGAATGACTCTGTAGATAGAGCCATAAGGAATTACTCTGCAGATAGAGCCATAAGGAATTACTCTGTAGATAGAGCCATAAGGAATGACTCTGTAGATAGAGCCATAAGGAATGACTCTGCAGATAGAGACATAAGAAATGACTCTCTAGATAAGAAATGACTCTGTAGATAGAGCCATAAGAAATGACTCTGTAGATAGAGCTATAAGGAATGACTCTGTAGATAGAGCCATAAGGAATGACTCTGTAGATAGAGCCATAAGGAATGACTCTGCAGATAGAGCCATAAGGAATGACTCTGTAGATAGAGCCATAAGGAATGACTCTGCAGATAGAGCCATAAGGAATGACTCTGCAGATAGAGCCATAAGGAATGACTCTGCAGATAGAGCCATAAGGAATGACTCTGTAGATAGAGCCATAAGGAATTACTCTGCAGATAGAGCCATAAGGAATGACTCTGCAGATAGAGCCATAAGGAATGACTCTGTAGATAGAGCCATAAGGAATGACTCTGTAGATAGAGCCATAAGGAATGACTCTGCAGATAGAGCCATTAGAAATGAGTCTGCAGATAGAGCCATTAGAAATGAGTCTGTAGATAGAGCCATTAGAAATGAGTCTGCAGATAGAGCCATAAGAAATGAGTCTGCAGATAGAGCCATTAGAAATGACTCTGCAGATAGAGCCATAAGAAATGACTCTGCAGATAGAGCCATAAGGAATGACTCTGCAGATAGAGCCATAAGGAATGACTCTGCAGATAGAGCCATAAGGAATGACTCTGCAGATAGAGCCATAAGGAATGACTCTGTAGATAGAGCCATAAGGAATTACTCTGCAGATAGAGCCATAAGGAATGACTCTGCAGATAGAGCCATAAGGAATGACTCTGTAGATAGAGCCATAAGGAATGACTCTGTAGATAGAGCCATAAGGAATGACTCTGTAGATAGAGCCATAAGGAATGACTCTGCAGATAGAGCCATTAGAAATGAGTCTGCAGATAGAGCCATTAGAAATGACTCTGTAGATAGAGCCATTAGAAATGAGTCTGCAGATAGAGCCATAAGAAATGAGTCTGCAGATAGAGCCATTAGAAATGAGTCTGCAGATAGAGCCATTAGAAATGAGTCTGCAGATAGAGCCATTAGAAATGACTCTGCAGATAGAGCCATTAGAAATGACTCTGTAGATAGAGCCATTAGGAATGACTGCAGATAGAGCCATTAGAAATTAATGCAACTGATTATTTCATGTTTAATGTTGTTTTTATAGGCAATAATTTAAGCTTTGTTAGTTCAAGGTTTAATTTGTGCAATAAGTTCATTTCAATAGGTTTTGAATTAAACATTGAACCAGTCCGGCCCTCGACTAGTACCCATTTTTTATTTTGGCCCACGGTGTATTTGAGTTTGACTCCCCTGTACTAAAGCATGGAGACATGTCACAGGAGAGACACTACATACTGTACCTCAGCAGGAGAGGACTCTTTAAAGTAGAGACACTACATACTGTACCTCAGCAGGAGAGGACTCTTTAAAGTAGAGACACTACATACTGTACCTCAGCAGGAGAGGACTCTTTAAAGTAGAGACACTACATACTGTACTCTTTAAAGTAGAGACACTACATACTGTACCTCATCAGGAGAGGACTCTTTAAAGTAGAGACACTACATACTGTACCTCAGCAGGAGAGGACTCTTTAAAGTAGAGACACTACATACTGTACTCTTTAAAGTAGAGACACTACATACTGTACCTTAGCAGGAGAGGACTCTTTAAAGTAGAGACACTACATACTGTACTTTTTAAAGTAGAGACACTACATACTGTACCTCAGCAGGAGAGGACTCTTTAAAGTAGAGACACTACATACTGTACTCTTTAAAGTACAGACACTACAGACTGTACTCTTTAAAGTAGAGACACTACATACTGTACCTCAGTAGGAGAGGACTCTTTAAAGTAGAGACACTACAGACTGTACTCTTTAAAGTACAGACACTACAGACTTTACTCTTTAAAGTAGAGACACTACATACTGTACCTCAGTAGGAGAGGACTCTTTAAAGTAGAGACACTACAGACTCTACTCTTTAAAGTAGAGACACTACATACTGTACTCTTTAAAGTAGACACACTACAGACTATACTCTTTAAAGTAGACACACTACAGACTGTACTCTTTAAAGTAGAGACACTACAGACTGTACTCTTTAAAGTACAGACACTACAGACTGTACTCTTTAAAGTAGACACACTACAGACTGTACTCTTTAAAGTACAGACACTACAGACTGTACTCTTTAAAGTACAGACACTACAGACTGTACTCTTTAAAGTACAGACACAACAGACTGTACTGTTTAAAGTACAGACACTACAGACTGTACTCTTTAAAGTACAGACACTACAGACTGTACTCTTTAAAGTAGACACACTACAGACTGTACTCTTTAAAGTAGACACACTACAGACTGTACTCTTTAAAGTAGAGACACTACAGACTGTACTCTTTAAAGTACAGACACTACAGACTATACTCTTTAAAGTAGACACACTACAGACTGTACTCTTTAAAGTAGACACACTACAGACTGTACTCTTTAAAGTACAGACACTACAGAATGTACTCTTTAAAGTAGACACACTACAGACTGTACTCCTTAAAGTAGAGACACTATAGACTGTACTTTTTAAAGTAGAGACACTACAGACTGTACTCTTTAAAGTAGAGACACTACAGACTGTACTCTTTAAAGTAGACACACTACAGACTGTACTCTTTAAAGTAGAGACACTACAGACTGTACTCTTTAAAGTAGACACACTACAGACTGTACTCTTTAAAGTAGACACACTACAGACTTTACTCTTTAAAGTAGACACACCGCAGACTGTACTCTTTAAAGTAGACACACTACAGACTGTACTCTTTAAAGTAGACACACTACAGACTTTACTCTTTAAAGTAGACACACCGCAGACTGTACTCTTTAAAGTAGACACACTACAGACTTTACTCTTTAAAGTAGACACACTACAGACTGTACTCTTTAAAGTAGACACACTACAGACTGTACTCTTTAAAGTACAGACACTACAGACTGTACTCTTTAAAGTAGACACACTACAGACTGTACTCTTTAAAGTACAGACACTACAGACTGTGCTCTTTAAAGTAGACACTCCAGACTGTACTCTTTAAAGTAGACACGCCACAGACTGTACTCTTTAAAGTAGACACACCACAGACTGTACTCTTTAAAGTAGACACACTACAGACTGTACTCTTTAAAGTAGACACACTACAGACTGTACTCTTTAAAGTAGAGACACTACAGACTGTACTCTTTAAAGTAGACACACTACAGACTGTACTCTTTAAAGTAGAGACACTACAGACTGTACTCTTTAAAGTAGACACACCACAGACTGTACTCTTTAAAGTAGACACACTACAGACTGTACTCTTTAAAGTAGACACACTACAGACTGTACTCTTTAAAGTAGACACACCACAGACTGTACTCTTTAAAGTAGAGACACTACAGACTGTACTCTTTAAAGTAGACACACTACAGACTGTACTCTTTAAAGTAGACACACTACAGACTGTACTCTTTAAAGTAGACACACCACAGACTGTACTCTTTAAAGTTGACACACCACAGACTGTACTCTTTAAAGTAGACACACCACAGACTGTACTCTTTAAAGTAGACACACTACAGACTGTACTCTTTAAAGTAGACACACTACAGACTGTACTCTTTAAAGTAGACACACTACAGACTGTACTCTTTAAAGTAGAGACACTACAGACTGTACTCTTTAAAGTAGACACACTACGGACTGTACTCTTTCAAGTAGACACACCACAGACTGTACTCTTTAAAGTAGACACACTACAGACTGTACTCTTTAAAGTAGACACACTACAGACTGTACTCTTTAAAGTAGACACACTACAGACTGTACTCTTTAAAGTAGACACACCACAGACTGTACTCTTTAAAGTAGAGACACTACAGACTGTACTCTTTAAAGTAGAGACACTACAGACTGTACTCTTTAAAGTAGACACACTACAGACTGTACTCTTTAAAGTAGAGACACTACAGACTGTACTCTTTAAAGTAGACACACTACAGACTGTACTCTTTAAAGTAGAGACACTACAGACTGTACTCTTTAAAGTAGACACACCACAGACTGTACTCTTTAAAGTAGACACACTACAGACTGTACTCTTTAAAGTAGACACACTACAGACTGTACTCTTTAAAGTAGACACACCACAGACTGTACTACTTACTCTTTAAAGTAGAGACACTACAGACTGTACTCTTTAAAGTAGACACACTACAGACTGTACTCTTTAAAGTAGACACACTACAGACTGTACTCTTTAAAGTAGACACACCACAGACTGTACTCTTTAAAGTTGACACACCACAGACTGTACTCTTTAAAGTAGACACACCACAGACTGTACTCTTTAAAGTAGACACACTACAGACTGTACTCTTTAAAGTAGACACACTACAGACTGTACTCTTTAAAGTAGACACACTACAGACTGTACTCTTTAAAGTAGAGACACTACAGACTGTACTCTTTAAAGTAGACACACTACGGACTGTACTCTTTCAAGTAGACACACCACAGACTGTACTCTTTAAAGTAGACACACTACAGACTGTACTCTTTAAAGTAGACACACTACAGACTGTACTCTTTAAAGTAGACACACTACAGACTGTACTCTTTAAAGTAGACACACCACAGACTGTACTCTTTAAAGTAGAGACACTACAGACTGTACTCTTTAAAGTAGAGACACTACAGACTGTACTCTTTAAAGTAGACACACTACAGACTGTACTCTTTAAAGTAGACCCGACACTCCACAGGGATAATGAAGGAAAAGACAACAGGTTTAAAATGTGACTTTTATAGTTCATATAACTTTACTATAAAGATATTTTAAAATGTATAAAAGATAGAAAACATTAAAACTGACTTCGTGTTTGGATATTCGTGTGATTGATCAAAAGTTCCTGTAAACATTTCATAGAGCAGAAGATAATGATAACATTTATATAAATATATATATTCTGTTTACATGTAAACACGATCAGAAAGGCACAATAAACATCTGTAGAAAAATATAAAACATACAAACATTAAGACGTTTCCTCATCATCATCATCGTCGTCGTCACTTATCATCATCGTCATCATCATCTCATATATACATAAAGATAATAACTGAGGCATTTAAAATAAACTTCCTGGATCAGACACTAACAAGTAATCATAGGAATCTAGCTAGTACGCATCAGGAACTAGTTAGTAGGCACCACAACTAGTAGTACTTAAGCTACTAGGTTGTTACTACACATAAGCTACTAGTAAGTATGCATCAGTCACTAGTTAGTATGCAGAGATATCTAGTCACATGACAAAAGATACCAGCAGCAGTTTGTACGTATCAGACCCTTGTCAGTAGACTCAGAAAATACCTGAAGTGAAGCAGCCAGATTTAGGCATTAGAAACTAGTTCATGTACACTAACTAGTACACATCATAGACCAACTAGTACACATCATAGCCCAACTAGTACACATCATAGTCCAACTAGTACACATCATAGTCCAACTAGTACACATCATAGACCAACTAGTACACATCATAGTGCAACTAGTACACATCATAGACTAACTAGTACACATCATAGACCAACTAGTACACATCATAGTCCAACTAGTACACATCATAGTCCAACTAGTACACATCATAGACCAACTAGTACACATCATAGCCCAACTAGTACACATCATAGACTAACTAGTACACATCATAGTCCAACTAGTACACATCATAGACCAACTAGTACACATCATAGACTAGATATTACACAGACTAACTAGTACACATCATAGCCCAACTAGTACACATCATAGCCCAACTAGTACACATCATAGTCCAACTAGTACACATCATAGACCAACTAGTACACATCATAGACTAACTAGTACACATCATAGACTAACTAGTACACATCATAGACCAACTAGTACACATCATAGACCAACTAGTACACATCATAGACTAGATATTACACAGACTAACTAGTGTCCTTCAGAAGCAGATAGTGTCCTTCAGAGGCAGCTAGTGTGCATAAGAACGAACAGGAAGTAGTTGTGTGGATCAGAACCACTTCCTGTCTCTCTCTCTCTCATGTGTTTCGGGGGCACAGGCGGCTCAGCAGGATCTCAGAGTACACCTGGTTCACTGGTCCTCTCACGTGATAGGTCGAGGCTCTAGGCCACGCCTCCTTCTCTGGATGTTGCGCGTCTGATTGGAGCTCAGGTGTGGTTCTGGAGGCTGTGATGGGGTCTGAAGGCCTGGAGGACTTCTCCACCTGTAGGAGTTAACGAGGTACCTGTTAACGAGCTTCAGTATCATGTGGTGTCTCATCTGAGATCTGATTGGTTACCTGGTGGAAGTGGCAGGCGCAGCGGCCCTGCAGGAAGTCTCTGAAGCGACCCATGGTGATGCTGAAGGTGTCGATCGCCTCGTACCCATGATGCTTTGCTGCAGTGATGATATCCTGGTTCTGCCTGTACAGGTCCTGGATCTCTTTCTGGAGGACAGATCACTTTTATCTTATTTTTATTCATTAAATAAGTTCCAAATAAACATCCCAAAACTTAAAATAATGAATAAATAAAATCCTTAAAATGCAAACAAAAAACAGAAGTCCAAACTATAAAATAAAGAAAATAATATAATATGAATAAATATACAGTAAATATTAGATTTTTGTTGTTGTTGGAAATATTAGATTAAAAAACCCCACATTATGACATCACAGCTCAGCGGCCAATAGGTGGAGAGACAGGAAGTACAGAGGAGCTTCACACATTGGACAGGTAATATAAACAGGAAACAGAAACTTACCAGACTGAGGGACCGGATCCCGTCCACAGGTAGGTGGAACCCCATCCCCAAAGATTTGACCACCACCAGGGCGTCACTGAGAGACTCTCTGTGATGGGGGGGGGCAGGTGTTGAAGTATTAATTGATCTCTAATCGATGTCTAGTTGATGTTTAATTGATATGTTGTGTTGTTGCTCACCTGTCCAGCACCTCTCTGACGGTCCTCAGGTGATTCACCTTCAGCCACTGGACCCCCCCCCACCACCAGCACCGTCTGCTTAGAGTTCACCAGAGGGCGCGACCTTCAGGAGACACAACACATGTCCTCGTTAACACTCCCCAGGTGTGTCCCCTCATTAAAGTTGTTAATACTAAAGGTGTGTCCCCTCCCCAGGTGTGTCCCCTCCCCAGGTGTGTGCCCTCCCCAGGTGTGTGCCCTCCCCAGGTGTGTCCCCGCCCCTCC